TTAAAATAATTAGAATTTTAATATCTTCGAGATAGATGAAGAAGCAAAAACTAATGTATGTACCATATCAAATCTCAAAGAGATATTTAAAGTGTAGTTAAAGTTTTATCATCTTCAAGACTATAAATCAGCATAAACTAATGTTTGCACCGTATCCAATCCGAAAAGATGTTTTTCAAAATATATTTTTTGCAATTTATCATTCAATCTATTACTATATAAGAATAAAAGGGTCTAGCATATTACTAAAATAAACTACTATATTGGTAACACCTGTATTTTCCAAGGTCATTTTTGTCATTACGTTATTTTATTTTTATTGTAAACATTTAAAAAATTGTAGATTAGTATTTTACATAAAAGAGCCTATACCAGATGCATGACTCTACATTTACTAAGGGTTAATTTAGTATTCTCATTTATTTTTGTAGATTATAATAATCTGTCATGATTACTTTCATATGAAAATTACTAAAATGGGTATTGCTTTGGACTTTTTTAATCATAATAGAAGGGTTAAAGTTGTCTTAACAACCTCTTCATTCTGCAAAATCTGCAGCCCATTTAATGACCAATGGAGATTACGAAAATAGTTTCTATTCTATAATTTCATACAGGTTTTGACTAGGATACAAATGTAATTTAACCGTGGCCAAAATTTGAAAACTTTGTCACAAATACACAAACTCTTCATTTTCATCTCTTCATTTGCATCTCTATTCGTCTCCATTTCAATACACAACTCTTCATTTATATATCATGTCTTCATTTATATTTCATCCTATATTTTTCCCCAACTCTCACCCTCATCACAATGTTCATTTTATTTTTAACTGAACTCTTGCTCTCACTCTCAAACTCTCCGTTAAGCTAAGGTAATGTATGGTTCAAATGTTTTGCCTATTGAACCGATCATCTTTTCGAGTGTGTTTCCTCCATTTTATTTCAAATTTTATGTTTAAAGGTGAATACCTTTTAAACATAATATTGCCAAATATGGTTATTTTTTACAAAAATAGTAAGAGTGTTTAAAGGAGTCACATTTAAAGGTCATGTTTATCTCCTTCATCTGAAATTCTCTGTTAATAATCTTTATTAATAATCTTTATTGTTGTAAATGTGGGAACTTTACTGAGTTTCCTAGGTTTATTTTTTTCAAAAACGTTTTCAATTTTGACTTTCCCTGTTTTTCCGTCTTCATACTATTTATTACTGTGAAGTTTGGTTCACAAACATTTTATCGTTGAAAACGACGTTGAAAGGGAAAATTAACAATAAAGTGTTTTAGAGGTCCTCTTTAGTCGTTGATCTTTCAATATGTTAAATTTTTCACCTAGGTTTTCATTTATCATAAAAGTCCCCATTTTTTCGTCTTTGTAATATTGATCACTGTGAAGTTCACAAAGACGACATTGGGGGAACAATGAACATTTTACAGTCTTTGCTTTTTTATTTGCATATATTTTTTACTTTACTCATATTTTCGTCTTGACGAGGTTGATCACTCTGAAGTTTGGTTCACAAACCTTTTATCGTTGAAGACGACATTGAATGGAAAAATTTACATTTTCAGTGTTTGAGACGTTGATCTTTTAATATGTTACATTTTTCATATAGGTTTTCAATTATCATTGTATCCATTTTTGTGTCTTTGTAATATTGATCAATGTGAACTTTAGTTCAGAGACCTTTTATCGTTGAAGACGACATTGAGGGAAGAGTGAACATTTTACAGTCTTTGCTATTTTATTTGCTTATAAATTTTTCTTTCCTCATATTTTCGTCTTCACTTGGTTGATCGCTGTTATTTTTGTTCACAGACCTTTTATCGTTTAAGACGATATTGACTGGGAAAGTTTATATTTTCAGTGTTTGAGACGTTGATCTTTGAATATGTTGCATTTTCCATATAGTTTTTCATTTATCAATGTCCCTATTTTTGTCTCTTTGTAATATTTATTACTGTGAACTTTGGTTCACAAACCTTTCATCGTTGATACAATATTGAGGGAACAATGAACATTTTACATTCTTTGCTATTTTATTTTCTTATAATTTTTACTTTACTCATATTTTCGTCTTCACGAGTTTGATCACTGTGAAGTTTGGTTCACAGACCTTTTATCGTTGAAGATGACATTGAATGGGAAAGTTTACATTTTCAATGTTTGAGACGATGATCTTGAATATGATACATTTTTCATATAGGTTTTCATTTATCATTGTCCCCATTTTTGTTTCTTTGTAATACTGATCAGTGTGAACTTTGGTTCACATGGCTTTTATCATTGAAGACAACATTGAGTGAACACTGAACATTGAACAATCCTTGTTATTTTATTTGCTTATAATTTTTACTTTTATCATATTTTTGTCTTCACGAGGTTGATCATTGTGAAATTTGGTTCACAAACCTTTTGTCGTTGAAAACTATATTGAAGGAGACAATTTCCATTTTCTCACTATTTCCCTCATTTTTCTTCTTGACTTTGTTGATCACTTTGAACCTTTTTTTTTCACAGACCTTTTTTGTGGGTTTACTATTTTCAGTTTCTTCATTTTTCGTCTTGACAATATTGATTATTGTGAAGTTTCCAATATTGAATACTATGAAGTTTCCAATATTGATTACTATGAAGTTAATTCTCTGTATGTCCATACTATTTTTATGTATATATCTGTCCATATTTGCTTTCCTTTTTATGACTTATATGTTATTTGACATCTTATTCTCCGAATGTCCATACTATTTCTTCTAATTTTGATCATGCATTCTTATTCTTAATCATCCGACTCCTATTATTTCTTTATGTTCATGGATCTAGTTGAGTAACTTAAACATGTTTTTTACCTTGAGTGTTTCTGTTTAAACTATTGTAATGTTATTTTTACCTCACCTTACCATTGAGTAAAAGATTCACTCACTGCTTATAAAGGTTATGAAGTTGACTATGTGTATGTCCATACTATTTTTTTTTATGTAACTGTCCATAATTGCTTTCCTTAATTTATGAGTTATATGTTATTTGAATTCCTTTCCCCCGAATGTCCATATTATTTCTTCTAATATTGATCTTGCATTCTTTTTCTTAATTTACAACTCCTATTATTATTGTATATGACATCATCAAATGATGAAACATTTATTTCGACAATGCATAAAAATAGAAGGTGTAAGGACCCAAATTCTACCTTTGAAATTTTTTCCTTATTTTATTCATTTTTCATGCACTTTCCTATAACTTACATTTACAAATTTCATAACCTTATTTTAAAATCTCATTTTCCCCTTCACACTCAATCTATGAACCAATAACGACATACACATTCATTTGACAGAAAAACATAATTCATATTAATGCAGCTCAGTAACTACAGCATACAACTAGCTATGGGTTTCCAAAATACGCATAGCTACAAATATCCAGAATTACCATTATCCATGGTCCCTAACACGTACAAAAATCATGCCAATGATTACAAATAGTCAATTCATAATACAATCAGTTAGGTTACAAAAGAATGGAAATAAGGACTTCAAAATGAAAGCCTCTAAGCTCCAAAATTAAAACATATTTACATCTTCCACCTACCTGCAATGGGATTAACATTGACCATACACAGGGAAAACACAAAGGAGTAAGTCGTTAACTCAATAAATGTCAATACAGGTTAATCCACATTTAAAATACAAAGGAAACATTAGAGTAAGGCACATAACGTAAGTACATAAATGTAACCAATCATATATTCTTTCTTTTCTTTCCATATTATCCATATTCACCCTATAGTTTAACACCCTGAATTTTAGTCTTTAAAAATTATAGTATCAGTCCTGGAAGTCTCGCTTGAGCGAGAGATTCTCGCCTGAGCAAGAAAGGATCACCTGGGAGTGTGAAATCCAGGGACATACTGGAGGATTCTCGCCTGAGCGAGAGTTGCCTCGCCTGGGCGAGAAATGGCATTTTGGGGTTGTGGACACTGTGAGATTCTTGCCTGAGTGAGAATCCCTCGCTTGAGCGAGAGGAAGCCTATTGGGACTGTGAGATTCTCGCTTGAGCGAGAGGGTCAGATCTGAAATTTTAAAAAGGTGGGATTTTCTCGCTTGAGCGAGAAGGGGCTCACTTAAGCGAGAACCCGACGACTGCTCTTTAAAATAGAAACCCCCAAACACATTTTAGGGTTAGAACTTTGAAGAGAAGATAGAGAATAGAGCTTTTCAAGAGCAAGGAGCCTTAGGACTCATCTTAGAGCTTGAGAAGAGGTAAACCTCTTGCTTCTAACTCTTCTTCTTCTTCCTCGCTAACTTGTTTTGGGTGTGTTGGATCTATTTTCAAAACATGAGAAACCATGGAAACTCATTCTTTAGAGTTATGGTTCGTTTTATGTTGTTTTTATCTTGTAAACTCTTGGTTTAGAGTTGATATTTGATGAATGGAAAGGTTTTGTGGGTTATTCATGAAAACCCTAAAAACCCCCAAAATGAGAATAGAGGTATAAAGAGAAAGAGATGAAATGTTAGATGTGGATGATGAGTTTGTGCTTTGATGTTGATATATGAGATGAACATGTATGTTTAGATGTTTGAAAACTTGTATTGAAGTAGTTTTGGAAATCTTGAATATATGTGAATCCCTTATATGTTTAATGATGAAATACGAGTTATTTATGTGTTATTTGAATAAATGACTGACATTGTTATTATTGGTGGAAATGAGGAAAGATCCTAAGGTTGGAGGAAATCGCGGAGGAGACTTTTAAAGTTACTCGGAACCGATCCCCAACGCTCACCAAGGTAAGGGATTGTGAACACTCAATTTTGTCCGGCCTATATTCCAAAAAAGTAATAATAAAAAAGGTCTTGAAAATAACATTTTATCTTGAAAAAACCAATTATTTCTCTTGAAGAATAAAACATGAAGTAATGCCTTGATTGAAAGTGTTAAAATTTTATTCAACTTGACTAAAGAGTGTTTTTAGAGGAGATTATTCAGGATGTCATTATCTCAAATCCAATTTGTACTTACTTTAGTCCATGTGAATTCCATGGGATGACATAATACAAATCCTAGAAAGAGAAGAGAATGATATCACTTTCCTTTGCTAACGAGTCACATGCTACTTTTACTTCAAACAAGATTGTCTAAAGTTTGTATTAATTTCTTACATGCTCATTCTCACATAAAAGCAAATATAAACTTAGTGCTACGGATAAAGCAACATGGACAAAAATAAAAACTCTCCATCCTTAATCAAGCACCCTTCGACAGAGATGCTGCATGGGATTGGCATGGCACCAACCAAGTCTTCACCAATAGCCTCACATGCCTTGTCCAAAGTAGAACCCACATGAACTTACAAAAGAAAATGTGCTCTTTAGCCGTAAGACACAGAATGTATTTAAATAGTCGAATGAAGTGCACGACCTATAAATTCCGGCAACGACCTCAAATCAACTAGGCCAAAAAGAGCATCATTCAACTTCCCTTCCCTGCAAACAATGATACTTGTTAGACTATAATAAAAGGAAATCAAGAGAAAGGAAAGCGACGGAGAAAGATTGAACAAGATGGGTCCTGCACCTAACATTGGAATTGATCATACACCCGTAAAGGAAGATTTGAAGCTGATTAATCTCTCTAAACCAACCAAGGGGCAGCAGTGAACACAATTCTGAAAAATGTCAAAATCAATAGTTTTCAGTTACAATCAGAATCATTAAGCGGCATTGGTAGATAATCTTGAATGCAAAAATCAGAAACAACAAGCATTAAGATGTCAATTATGAGCAGGCTGCAAATCAGAGTAATCAAGACATTAAAGAGGTGGTCACAAGGGGTCATGGCTGTTATGAGTAGGCTGCAAATCAAACTCTGAAATTACTATCCTATTTCAGTTGCAAATTGCAATGATGGAGAGCCTTTAACGCATTAAAACAGAATTCATTTCCCCTACAGTTACACATTCATACATTCAGAAAGATAACAATTGGCAACTCAAAGGGATTTTATAAGTTAACTGAAGAAACTCATATGGGATATAAAGGACCAAAGCAATCAGAGAGCAAAGGGATATAACCAGAAAAACATCCCATACAACACATCATATAGCAATCAGCTAACATACAACAGAGTCCATACACTCATACATTCTAACAACACACAAGCTATCCCTCATGCAATAACCAGAATATATTCTACAATCATCTACCTCTCCACCACACAATCAAAAGACACAAACAAAAGAACATTATACTACAGAAACACAAGCCCAGATCATATACCCATACCACAACACAGCCAAATATCACATAGATATACAAGTACATAACAAAACTCACATCATAAACACCAAGCAGCAATCAAAGAGAGTCCGAAAAGGAAAGATTCATACGAAAGGAGGTAGAACAAAAAAAAAAGTGCTCTAAGCCGCACATTTGGTTGTCAACAAGATTTGTTTCTGAATGGGTTTTCATCCCCCTCCAATTTTATATGTCACGTACAATCAGCACGAACAACAAAATTAAGCAAAATTCCAGCATATAAGGGGAGTAGTTTCGTACCAAATCCCTTTGTTCCCTTCGGTTCCGATCTGAGATCTCATAGACACCATCATAAAGATCTTGTGGCACACCTTAATGCAAGGTGTGAAAACTTTAATGTCAACGAATCCTAGCAGTAACAAAATTGAGAAGCTAAGGAGAAAGATCATGGATATGGGATTAAAGAAAGAAGAAGATAAAAGGGAGAGAGTCGAACCTGAGCCACCTTGCTCTTGGTCAAGAACCACCGTGAACCCATGGTGAGACGTATGAATCCCTGCGTCTCGATTCCCCTTCGCTGCTGTCTCTGGATTGAGAATGAAGAGAGAAGAGGATTACCTCGAACCGAGGTGAAGGAGGCTCCGCTGAATCGCCGCCGTTGCTGCCTTCTTCCGCCACTACCGCCGCTTAGGTGAGAGAAAAGGAGATGAAGAGAAGAAGAGGAAAACGGGATTTTAGGGATTCAATCCCTCTTCCAACTTCTACTTTGTAGGAAATAAAGAGGGTAACTATGACCCCTCCTCAATTTACCCCATCCATGTGTTTTTACTATCTTATCCACAAGCATTTTACCTAACCTCATACCCCTATTTGTGTTCATAATTATTTGTTTAATTCTACCGCTACATGTTTACTCAACTTTAATGTTATATGGTTTTTATGTCATTGAAAATGTATTCTGGTTAAACGAATTTTAATGGAATTTTTATAGTAAAGTTACGGTTCGAGTTGACTTTGACTTCTCTGAAAATGGGAAGAAGGTGAGCGACCAATACCGACTCTAAACTATTAATTTCATGCTAAAATGTTTCAAATAAAAATTACCTTATTGCTTAAACGAATTTTAATGGAGTTTTATAGTAAGGTTAGGGCCCGTGTTGTCTCTAAATTCTCTGAAAATGGGAAGGAGGTCTACGACCAGTGCCGTCTCTAAACTATTAATTTCATGCTAAAATGTTTCAAATAAAAATTACCTTATTGCTTAAACGAATTTTAATGGAGTTTTATAGTAAGGTTAGGGCCCGTGTTGTCTCTAAATTCTCTGAAAATGGGAAGGAGGTCTACGACCAGTGCCGTCTCTAAACTATTAATTCCATATCAAATATTCCAAAGCAAAATTATTATATTATTTACTCAAATGACTTTAAATGGAGTTTTATAGTAAGGTTAGAGCCCGTGTTGTCTCTAAATTCTCCGAAAATGGGAAGGAGGTCTACAACTAGTGCCGTCTCTAAACTATTAATTCCATATCAAATATTCCAAAGCAAAATTATTGTATTATTTACTCAAATGACTTTAAATGGAGTTTTATAGTAAGGTTAAGGCCCGTGTTGTCTCTAAATTCTCCGAAAATGGGAAGGAGGTCTACGACCAGTGCCGTCTCTAAACTATTAATTCCATATCAAATATTCCAAAGCAAAATTATTATATTATTTACTCAAATGACTTTAAATGGAGTTTTATAGTAAGGTTAGGGCCCGTGTTGTCTCTAAATTCTCCGAAAATGGGAAGGAGGTCTACGACCAGTGCCGTCTCTAAACTATTAATTTCATGTCAAATATTTCAGAAGAAATCTATTTTTATTATTTAAACGAATTTCGAACAGAATTTTTATAGCAAGGTTATGGCCCGTGTTGTCTCTAAATTCTCTGAAAATGGGAAGGAGGTCTACGACCAGTGCCGTCTCTAAACTATTAATTCCACATCAAAAATGTTTTAGTAAAAACTTATTTTATTACTCAACCAAATCAATACCATCAAACCAACGAAATCAACCAATTAATTTTCGAACCAGAACTACGTAGCCTTGATTTCCCTATTGCAGCTAGGGATACGTAGGAGCAAGTTGAATTCTTGTCAGGCACAACAATAAAAAATAAAACATTTTGTTTTTATTTACTGAATTTTAATAAATAATTTTAAGGGTATAAAAGTCCATGTAATTAGCGAGGGTACCGTTTGAATACGGGCGGACGGGGTGCTAATACCTTCCCCGGTCCGTAATCGACTCCCGAGCTCAAAATCTCTGATTAAAGACCAAATTATCCTAATTGGGCATATTTAGAGTATTCTACGTTTTATCCGCAAAAAATGTAGTGGCGACTCCAAACAATTGGAAGAGGTAGAAATCGAGTTCGCCTCTCCCTAAGTCGCAGGGCCGGTCTTCCAACCGAAAATCGGGTCGCGACATGGATAAGTGTCTCTAAATCATACTTGCTGATATGAATGAGGTATGTGAAAGAGGTAATGGTTTAAAATGATACGTCTGTAATTTATGCATTATGTGAGAAAATGCGTGACTTTTCTGTTATGGTAAATGAAATTAATATTATTGGGGGAGTACCAATGGAAAGATGACTGAAATGAAATTAATATTATTGGGGGAGTACCAATGGAAAGATGACTGAAATGAAATTAATATTATTGGGGGAGTACCAATGGAAAGATGACTCAAATGAAATTGATATTATTGGGGGAGTACCAATGGAAAGATGACTCAAATGAAATTGATATTATTGTGGGTACCAATGGAAAGATGACTCAAATGAAATTAATATTATTGGGGGAGTACCAATGGAAAGATGACTCAAATGAAATTAATATTATTGGGGGAGTACCAATGGAAAGATGACTCAAATGAAATTAATATTATTGGGGGAGTACCAATGGAAAGATGACTCAAATGAAATTAATATTATTGGGGGAGTACCAATGGAAAGATGACTCAAATGAAATTCATGTTATTGGGGGAGTACCAATGGAAATATGACTCAAAGGAAATCCATATTATTGGGGGAGTACCAATGGAAATATGACTCAAAGTGAAATCAATAATTATTGGGAGAATCCCAATGGAAATAAGACTCGGAGTAATGAATGTCGTATGCATACTATAGAATATATAGTATGGGATGTATATTCTATATGGTGAATATGAATGATGAGAAATGTGAATGTCACATGAATGTCGTATGCATGCTATAGGATATATAGTATGGGATGTATATTCTATAGGGTGAATATGAATGACGAGGAATGTGAATGTCACATGAATGTCGTATGCATGCTATAGGATATATAGTATGGGATATATATTCTATAGGGTGAATATGAGCGATAAAAAGGAAGATGTTGAGAAAGAAAGTAATATACATGCTATATGATATATATTATGGGATATATATGTTATAGGGTGGATATGATAACGAGAAAGATGTTTTGAATGTTTACGATTCCGTATGTGTGTACGAATTATATTAAAGCTTAATTGTATTTGAATGTGGATTATCAGGTGATGTTAGTTTTGAACTAATGACTTACTCCCTTATGTTTTGTGTATTGTTTCTGATGATCCCATTGTGGGTAAGAGAAATATTTTGAGAAGAACGCTGAATTAGGAAGCTTTGGTGTTTATTAACCAGTTTGTCTTATTTGTTACTTGACTTTTTAGTTAATTTGATAACATTATGGATGACTGTAAGTCCGTTTAGATTAATACGGATATGTGTAGTTATAGGCTTTATAACTTGGGGAGACCCATAATTGGTTGTATGTGGTAAATGCTGTTTGAATGAATTATGTTTTTCCGCAACATAAATTTGTATGATAATATAATAGGGTAAAGAGTATTTTCAAAGAGTGATACTTGAGAGTTTTCAATGAAGGTGATGACTGTATGTAAGAAAGGATTAAAACAAATGAAAAAATTTCAAGGGTAGAAAATTGGGTTGTTACATATAGTATATATATACCATAATATATATTCTATAGCATGCATAATCATCCATTCCAAATCACTTTCCTTTTCATTTTAGTCATATTCACCCTATAGTATATATATCCCATAATATATATTCTATAGCATGCATATTCATCCATTCCAAATCACTTTCCTTTTCATTTTAGTCATATTCACCCTATAGTATATATATCCTATAATATATATTCTATAGCATGCATATTCATCCATTCCAAATCACTTTCCTTTCCATTTCGTATATTCCATGTACTCCCATCTAATACGATTAACATTTAATTATTCAATGCCACTTCGGGCAAGACTACACCATGAATGTGATTTCAATACCACGTCGGGTAAGTCTACACCGTGGAGGTGATTTCAATACTACATCGGGTAAGTCTACACCGTGGAGGTGATACAATACCACATCGGGTAAGTCTACACCACGACGGTGATTCAATACATATACAAACAGCAATTCAGCGCATCGTTTATTACGAACATACCCATATATGTTTATAATAAATAAGCGACTTGCATCTTAACCACTTTCACAACCAGAAAATACACACATTTTCCATTACAAAGTACAATGAAAAACTTATCTTTACCTTGGTGAGCGTTGGGGTCGTTTCCGAGTAACTTTACAAGTTTCCTCCACGATTACCTCCAACCTTAGGATCTTTCCTCATCCACATCAAACAACAACAAAGGTCAGTACTTTATACAAAATAACACATAAACAACTCATGTCTCATCTTTTAAACATGCAAGGCATTCACACATTTTCAATGTTTCTAAACTACTTCCATTAAGAGTTTCCAAACATCTAAACGTACATATTCATCTCATACATCAACATTAGAGCACAAACTCATCTTCTATATCTAACATTTCATCCATTTCCTTTTTACTCACATTCTCATTTTGGGGGTTTTGGGGTTTTCATGAATAAACTCACACAACCTTTCCATTCATCAAATACCAACTCTAACCCAAGAGTTTACAAGATAAAAACAACATAAAACGAACCATAACTCTAAAGGATGAGTTTCCATGGTTTCTCATACTTTAAGAAGAGATCCAACATACCCAAAACAAGTTAGAGAGGAATAAGAAGAGTTAGAAATAAGAGGTTTACCTCTTCTCAAGCTCTAAGATGATTCCTAAGGCTCTTTGCTATTGAAAAACTCTCATCTCTCTCTTATCTTCAAAGTTCTAACCCTAAAATGTGTTTGAGGTTTCTATTTTAAAGTGACATCGTTGGGTTCTCGCTCAAGCGAGCTCATTCTCGCTCAGGCGAGGAAATTCCGCCTTTTTAAAATTTCAGATCTGACCCTCTCGCTCAAGCTAGGTAATTCTCGCTCAGACGAGGCATCTCTCACTCAAGCGAGGATCTTCTCGCTCAGGCGAGAATCCTCTCGCTCAGGCGAGAATCTCACAGCCTTGACAGGTCCTGAATGCCACTTTTCTCGCCCAGGCGAGGCCACCCTCGCTCAAGCGACACCATTCTCGCTCAAGCGAGAATCCTTCAGTATAGCCCAGGATTTCACCCTCCCCAAGTGAGCCTCTCTCGCCCAGGCGACAATTCTCTCTCTTAAGCATAACTATACTCAACCAAATTCATACTCGATCGTCTAATCCATTAAGATTACTTAAACGACCTCCAAGGGCGCACACCACTAACCGTGATATCACAAGGCCAATTCAGGT